TCAAACATATTTATCTTTTCAATTTTGTAAAAAAAAATTATATAAATTTTATGAAATTAATTTTTTTAAAAAATATATATATAAATTTTATAAATTTAATTTTTTTTAAAAATATATAAATTAATTATAGTAATATTATAGTATAATTCAACTTGTTAAAAAATAAATATATAATAAGGATAATTTTGTAAAATATACATTTCAATAATCTTTTATTCCTTTAACCAAACACAATAATCTTACATTTATGTTAAACTAAACAAACACAAAATACAACATTCTCAATAATCATATTCTCTGATAATCTTTTATTCTTATTGATAATCTTATATTCTGTGAACCAAACACTAATTAATCTCGTGAAAATGAGATAATATTTTATTTGATCAAATTTAAGTGAAATTTAGTACAACTGATATCGTGTATGCAGTATGCACAGATAACTTCTTATTTGACCAAGTTTAAAAATATTAATTTCTAATTTAATATTTTAAAAAATTTATATTCTCTACAATATTTAAATAACAATCATATTAATTAATCTAAATTTTAATATTAAATTTAAAAAAAAAAAAATCAACAACAAACAGACGGCATTGTTGAGCTAAAAAACAAAAAAAAATGTTGCCTTCCTGTGCTGATGTACCACGTGTGTTTTGCTGGACCAGCCTGGTTCTTTATGGTATTGACACAAGTCGTACAATTATCATTAAAGCCACCCCACCCGTAAATTCAAAAAAGGGTGAAATACAAATGGTACACCGCTTATAAAATATTGTTTTATTTAGTATTTTTATATTTTTAATTTTAAGATGTTGTTTTATTGAGTTCATGATTTTTAAAAGTCACAGAATAGTCACTCGGCTATTTATATGTTCTAAAATCGTATTTTTCCGTTAAAAATCAACAGTCGTATGCGCTGGACGTTAACTTGCTTATTAGGATGTGATAAAATTTGATCTCAGGATCGTTTGAGTTGTATTTTGTGAACTGAGTTTCCGTTTATATTATGTCGTTGAACCAATGCTTAAAAGAAATGACGATGCCTATAGACATCCTTAAAATATTATTTTATCATATCTCAGCCAATAAGTTAACGTCCAGCTCAGACGACTATCAATTTTTTAACGAAAAATGACGAGCTTGTAGCATATGAATAATCGAATAACCATTTTATAACTTTTAATAGTAAGGAGACTCAATAAATAAATGCCCTACAATTAGAAAACTATTTTGTAACTTTTAATAGTTTGATGACTAAAAAAAATAACACCTTATATCCAGGGGGGCATTTGTGTACTTTACCCATTCAAACAATAAATTCATCAGGAAAATTCGTGGTTTAAATATATGTTAAACTCTGTGATCACCACTTGTACTTTGCACAAGTTATGAATTAGTCTATATATTCTGATTTGATCAAATTTAACCATTATATTTTTCATACTTTAAATTTTAAATTCTGATTTAGAAAATTAGCTCTTGTGATTTGTCCAAGATAAACTATTTTAGTACAAAATACTTTAGTAGATTTTAACATGAGTTGTTATGTTTAATTAAAAATATCTTTTAAAGCTAAATAACTGTCTAATAGGTCTTAATTTCATGGGTACATTTTGAAGGCCAGGCATTCAAATATACTTAAGTGCTTTCGGTTTAGATGTTTGAGGATTATAAGTAATTTAAACATTGTATAAATAATTGAATCTAAAAATATTCTGATTATATATTTGTTTAAATAATTATTTTAAAATACTATGCAATATAAGATTTTTTTTTACTAATTATAAGTAGATTTACCGAAAGAAGAAGTTAAATCTTTTAAATAAGATTCAAGGATGGACTATGAATTTTATACTAGGGGAGAATTTCTAAATTTTAGAAGATAATAAACTTATACAATTTTAAGATGAAACATATTTTTAATAGAAAGTACAAAGAAAAAAATTCAAAATACGACAATTTTAAATTTTAAAGGGAGTGATTGTCCCCCGACCCCTGGATCCATCCCTGATAAGATCTAAGATTCAGATCCTAACATTGTGAACAAAGTAAGTTGGATTGGAAAGATTATTTTCATATCAATGGATTAGATATGATTATATATATATATATATATATATATATATATATAATAGAGTAATTTAAATAAATTAAAGAGTTAATTCGCTACACATTCTTAAACTATTATTTTCATTTTAAATTTGTCCTTAAACTTTTAAATGTTCCAAATTTAACCTCAAATTATGACCCTAATTCTATATTTAATCCCTAAACTTTAGAATATTATAAATTCATAATTCTATATTTAATCCCTAAACTTTAGAATATTATAAATTCATCCCCAAACTTGAGCCTCATCTATATAATCCCCAAACTTTTGAATGTTATAATTTCATCTCTAAACTTTTGAATGATTTTAGGGGGACATTATTGAAATGTTCAAAATTATGGGAACTAATATAGAATGAGAGTCATAGTATGGGGATGAATTTGGAACACTCATGAGTTTGGGAACAATTTAGAACTAGTCATAATTTTATGAAAAAATTAGAATATTCAAAAATTAAAGGACTAATTTCAAATAAAAACAATAGTTTGAGGATGTGTATTACAATTAACTCTAAAATAAAATAAAAGGAGCATATGTTTCTAAAAAAAAGTATAAATGAAAAGAATATTCTTTCATCAAGACTTTGTTCTATGAGCTGCCATGTTTGATATTATTACATAAGATGAGCTGCCGTATTTGATATTATTACATAAGATGAGCTGCCATGTTTAGATGTTACGATGATTTTCTCTTCTTTGACACCACGATTCAAATAAAATATATTATCCATCAATATATAATGCCAATTCGAACATGTTTAGATGTCATTATATTAATATAATTATAAATAATTTTTAAAAATTATAGTCGTTTAATGAATTAAATTTTGGGGTTTAAATATGCCATGTAACTAGGTTTGGTAAAAGAATGGCAAAGTTAATCGAGAAATAGTAGTTTAGTACAAGACATTAAGGTTCTTGAGTTTGATTCCCTTTCTTACTTTTAGGGTACGTTTGGATGGGGATTATAAGATTACTGGGGGAAATTTCCCCCCCGAATATGATTCCTCCGTTTGGATTGCAAAGATTCCCAACCCCCAGTAATAAATCATTCCCAATAGTGGTATTTTGGAGCTTATTACCGGGAATGTGATTTCCCTCAATCTCTTAGGTATTTATCATTTCCTTACGTTTTGGATTAAAATGTCCTTAAATTTTTTTCTTCAAAAATATCATTCTTCTGTCGTTGAATAAAAAAATTATATGAAGGTTAAATTACAAATTTATCCTTAAACTATTTTAGATTTACAAAAAAGTTCATAATTATAATTTTATATGAAGTTCAGGGGTTAAAATAAAATTAAACCCTTTCATTAAACCTATTTATCTTTTAAAATTTGTAAAAAAAAATTATATAAATTTTATGAATTTAAATGTTCTAAAGAAAATATATAAATTAAAAATAGTAAAATTATATATTTTTTATGATCTTTTATACAAATATTTTCATTTGAATATTTAGAATTCAATTTGTTAAAAAACAAATATATATTAAGGACAATTTGGTAAAAGATATATTCCAATAATATTTTATTTTTTTAATCAAACACTGTAATATTACATTCCGAACCAAACACAACAATGCAACATTCTCAGTAATGTGTTGGATAATGTTACATTACGATAATCTTATTCCTGAAGGTAATGCTAAATTCCATGAACCAAACACAACCTTATCGATTAAATTTTTTCTTTGATTTTATTTGATTAATAAAGCATTAAAATGTGTCATTATCTAATTGATTTGAATAAAATTATTAAAAATCATGTGAACCGTTGATAAGGAGGGGAAAATGACATGGAAAATAAAAATATTACATCAACATATAGTTAGTTTTAACGGTCGGTAATCAAAACAAAAAAATATAATGGTTGCGACGGTTTTTCAAAAAGTATAGTTTTGTGACCAAAATAGAGAAGATGTAATATGTTGGTTACTAATGGTGTAATTTACTTTTTCTTATTAATATGATATAAGTACAAGATAGTATATATAATTTACCTTTAAACAAAGTAAATGTAAACTACACCATTCGTTACCAAAATTTAGACCGTGCATTGATTTTTAACACTGAACTTTAAAATGCTTTAATTTTAACATTAGATTTTAATTTGTGTTTGAATTCGGTCTCTAAGTTGTTAAATCGATAACGACGTGATGGCATGATCGTCTCTTCTTCGTTTTCTTGTAGGAAATTACCAACTCTTTCGATTGTTGTTGTCGGTCAATCTTTATTCGCAATAATATTGATATTAAAACATTCACATTTCACTTTTTTTATTTCTTTTATTCAGATGGTTTTTTTTTTTACAAAAACCCACTCAAAATGTTCAACTTTCTAATGCTCATGTCGCTCTCGATGTTCGTATTATGAAACTAGTTTCAAGATATATTATTCATATAATCATATCCTCAAAAAAAAATATTTCTCATTGGTTGAATTTTTGAATAAATTCCTAAAATCCAAGAAAACCCTTAAACCTTTAAAATAATATATTTTTATTATAATTTCATGAATTTTAAAGAGATCTTTAAAATCTCAAAGGTAAAAATGATAAACGATAAGGAGATGAGTTCATTAATGTTTAAAATTATCGCAAATGATAAAAGAGAATGTAAAATTTAACATGATTAAAAATGTGTAAAAGAAATTCTAATTTTTGATAAAGAAAGAAATGACGTAGAATATATATATATATATTATTAAATGAAGAATAAATTTATACAAATTGAGTTTTGCTGGCCCAAACGAGAACATCTAGGGGAGCTGTTTTCAAGTAAAACGTCACCTCAAATTCCTTAGCACGTGCCGCCCATATGCTCTTCCATCTCCTATACAAATCCCCCCGATTTCCCCTTTGTCCCTCTCTCAAAGACTCCGCTTTTGCTCTGGAAAGTTCAAGCTTTCTTTTTTCCCTTTCCAATGGCTACCGTCTCACCGACTCCACTGTTGAAAGATGAGCTCGACATCGTCATCCCAACCATTAGGAACTTGGACTTTTTGGAGATGTGGAGGCCCTTTTTCCAGCCTTATCATCTCATCATAGTTCAAGACGGCGATCCTTCCAAGGCCATCAAGGTCCCCGAAGGCTTCGACTATGAGCTCTACAACAGGAACGACATCAACAGGATCTTGGGCCCTAAGGCTTCTTGTATCTCGTTCAAGGACTCCGCTTGTAGATGCTTTGGCTACATGATCTCCAAGAAGAAGTATATTTACACCATTGACGATGATTGCTTTGTAAGTGGTTCTTCATTTTGGAGATCTGGGTATCACCCAATTTTTGGAACAACGCTCTGCATGTGGGTTTTAAGTTTCAGATCTTGACTTGATTGGGATCGTTTTCTATTTGGATCTGCAATTGTTGTGTGTCTTTTTAATTCTTTTTGACATTATGATTCCATTAGTTTCGCATCTGCTTCCACTCTTGAGCACATAACATCTCTTGATCTATGTCTAATGGTATGTTTGCAGTCAAATTCTGCTGTAATTCGTCCTACAATTAGTCACTTACCAATGTAATGTAAGCCTTAGCAGCCGTTCTAGTCCTTTTCTTTTATTTCATGCTGGATTTGTAAATGTTGTCATGTTTAGAATGTGCTTTAGATTTACCTGTTTCGATGCATTTTCATGGGATCTGATTGTGAAATGTTTGCATATAGTCATCATCGGATGTGGTTCTTGGTTTTACAGGTTGCTAAAGATCCATCCGGCAAAGACATCAATGCATTGGAGCAGCACATAAAGAACCTCCTGTGTCCGTCCACTCCGTTTTTCTTCAACACTCTTTATGACCCTTATCGAGACGGTGCGGACTTTGTTCGTGGCTACCCTTTCAGTCTCCGTGAGGGTGTTCCCACTGCCGTATCTCACGGTCTCTGGCTCAACATCCCGGATTATGACGCCCCAACTCAGCTTGTCAAGCCACTTGAGAGGAACAAAAGGTGTATATATATATAACCCTTCACATTGTGTGGTTCATATGTAATACATAATTTAAATGATATCTAAATCGTTTGCCTAATTCCTATCAGGTATGTCGATGCTATTATGACGATACCGAAGGGAACCCTCTTCCCCATGTGTGGGATGAATCTGGCATTCAATCGTGAATTGATTGGCCCGGCAATGTACTTTGGACTCATGGGAGATGGTCAACCTATTGGACGATACGATGATATGTGGGCTGGCTGGTGCACCAAGGTACCTTATTTTTTATTCTAGTGTTGACCCGAATTTTCATTGCCATCGATAAGCTTTCTCATTAAACTGCACTGTTCGAATGCACAGGTTATCTGCGATCACCTCGGATTGGGAGTGAAGACCGGACTGCCTTACATTTGGCACAGCAAAGCGAGCAACCCATTCGTGAATCTTAAGAAAGAATACAAAGGGATTTACTGGCAAGAAGAGCTAATCCCGTTCTTCCAATCTGTCACTCTTACAAAGGACTGCACCACGGTCCAGAAATGCTACATCGAGATCTCCAAGCAAGTCAAGGCGAAACTCGGAAAGGTTGATGACTACTTCAACAAGCTCGCCGATGCTATGGTGACATGGATCGAAGCATGGGATGAACTGAACCCGTCGGCCGCAAAATCTGCTGAGCTGCCTAACGGTGCTACCAAGTAAAACAACATCATTGATGAGCATCCTGTATTGTTTCGATATGGATCGAGCTCTTGGCCGGAAAAGCTTGAAACGTTTATTTTGCAGGTTGGAGGGAGAGATGCATATATTATGTTTGATGATATATTTATGGAGTTTAGAGAAGAATAAGAAATTTATGGCGTATGTATTGTATTGAACTTACGAGTTAGCATAGCATTTGATTCAGATTATTGCATTTCTATTGGTTTTAGCTATGGTTTGTTTTAATTTAAATGTTGTTTTGTGTTTCACATGTTCTTCGGTCTGAATCTTAGAGGAGTGATTAAATGCTTAAAACATTATGCCTATGTAATATGCAATTTTCAGCAGTATTTTAATCTTAAAATTTTAATTTATTATGATTTTTTAATTATAAAAAAAAACATCACGAGAAATTGAACAGCTAAATAACAGCAAGGAGAGAACGTAAAGAGCACCGCAATTATTTCAAAATTTTGGATTTACTTTGCGACAAAATTTACTGCGAGCAGGCCATGCCTATTTATTATTTAATGTGACATAATCAATAGTAGTTTATATATAACAGTATTGATGTACAACAGAAGAAATAATAGTTAAATATTATTTTAATTTTATTTAAATAAAAATAATAATGATAGATCTGAATATGATACATTTATGAGAAGCATGGAGAGACTCTTGAAAGATGGGAAGAAAAAGAGCAAGTTGGATCCTTGTGAAATTGGGAAAGGGAGCGATGGAATAAATAGCATATATATTTTACATGTTGAGAAATAATTTTGAACTTGTTTCGATGATTTAATGTAATATTTTTGAATCTGTCGGATATTTCATGTCATATTTGACGTGTTACAATCCACAATTGTTTCTCTCCGATTAGTTCATTGTGGATGAAATAGAACACGTGATTTGATATAATATTCTTGAATCCGTCAGATATTTCAGATCGTGTTTGAGTGTCATAATTCACACTTATTTCTCTTGATTTCTCTGATTAGCTCGTTGTGAATGAGATGGAACACGATGGCTTCTTCTATGATCCTTAAATAACCTTCAACATCTTGGTCTTATGTGACCAAACTTGATCATATATGCTTACCTTATTGTTCAAAACAGATTGCCGACAATAAACTATTATGTATGGAGCATGTAAATCATTCAAGGAAACATTGCAGCAAAGCCTTTTAGGAGACAAATAGTGAACAAAGATTGAATTTTTTTATTCAGTTCTTAAACTGAAATTTTAAGCTGTTAGCAAGCAGCTGAGAATGTCACATTAGAATCTGCTCAACTTTACTTACCTCATTTGTTCGGTGTTTAAGTGATTCGGAGGCAACAGAAAGCGTCGTTTTCCGGCTTCACTTGCATTTATTGCAAGTCTATTGTTGGTCCATCCTGGCATGATATGTCATATTTGGTATTCATGAATTCCGAACCTTGGTAAATCACATCTGTGATATTGAAGTCGGCACCTTCACCGCCATCGGATATCAGCAGGGCACCCAGGTGAGTGGCTTGAGTTGAATTCATCCTGGATGAAGAGAACTTATTTGACACCCCTGTAGCTGAAGCCTGTGAGCTAACTCCAACGAGCTTTCCCGAGACTTGATCGATTATGTTATGGTTATGACTGCCTGGGATAACTGTGGAATGTGCAAAGGGAATTCCGTACGAGTGGTTTGATGAGTTCTGTGACTGCAATGACAGAAGAGAGAGAGCACAACCGGAATTCGAAATCTCAGATAGTCCATGAATTGTTGAAGCTGAATCAAACACATTGGTGTCTTCACTTCCTAACGAGGCGTCCTGGAATAAAGGACGTGATCTGGAATTCGTTCCACCAACACCACGAGGATGAACTCCTGTGACTGCATTTGTTCCATTATCATGGAAAGAGAACAGTTTGTTGATACCACTAGGAGAATACGTTAATCTCGAATGAAACTGTCCGTTCAGGGGAATGGCTGAGACAGGGCCATAATCGGTTCCGTCTTCGACTTTTAACCGCTTGCCCCATTCATTTGTCACATTTTTCTCATGATGCAGAAGGCCACTAGGTAGTAAATCTTGGCAAATAAAGGATGTAGCTGTCAACATATTCCCATGAAATCTACCACCATTATATTGCCAAGGAAGTGCCATGGAAGTACCATTATATTGCAGACTTTCAGTTCTCCCTGACCGAATACCAACTTGAGGTTTTCTCCGCCGCTCATTATGGTTGGCAAGGCGTTTACGACAGCTCCTCTTACAACCATCAAATTCAGCCAGCAAATGAAACCTGGATGATCAAAAGCTTAGACATACTATTGCATGAAGGAGGGCAGAAACATGGTAACCACTAACCACAGCTAAGCTATACAATTGCAACAATTCCAAACACCAAGACTATTTAAGGACCTTAATGAACAAAACTGACCTGCTGCATTGTTGACAAAAACGTTGTTCAATTCCATTAACAATAACTTTTGCAGTTTTTGAGTGAGCCTCACAAACTCTGTGCCTCTTGTGGTAATCTTTTGAGGAAGTAAGATCCTTGTGACAGCCATAAACTTGGCAATAAGCAGTGTGAGAATTCACGCCCGCTGCTCGAACTCGCTTCGGCGTTGGCGACCATTCCGATGAAAAGAAAATGGGGGCTGCTAATGAGAAGCTAGAATTCTGGGCATCTTTATGGTCAAGAAATCTCCCAAGCTTTAAATCTATCAATGGAGAATCCTTACTATTAGAGTCCACAACAGAGCTTGAAAGCTTTGAAGTAGACTCATCATCGTCATCATCCCCAGAAAAGGTATTAGCCAAACTCATCTTGTTGCTTAAAACATCCCCAATTGAACAATTTGGTAGCTGTTTTGCTGTCAATTCTCCAAACCCAAAGTCCCCAAAAGCTTGTTCTCTCTCCCCATAAACACAACTCCAGGACTCCATTACAAGAAATAAAACTACCCAAGAGCTCAATTCCAGGGGAAAGAAAAAACACAGAAAATGAAGTTTTTCACTGCAGCATTTTCATCAAACACAAAACAAACAAAATCATTGAAAGTTCAAGCTTTTTGAATCTGATTGCCAAATGAACTTAACAGAAAAGGAGTAAGAAAGAAACCCAAATCAATAAAAACTCAAAGAAGAATCACTTGACAACCCAACCTGTGTTCAATCAAGTTGAATCAAGAACAAGATTTTTACAGAGTTTACAATAATTTCATGACAATAATATAAAAAAAAGTTGCTCAATGATTATGGGATAGAGGGAGAGAGTGGCGCAGGTTACCGGCATAGAGTGATTGAGCGAACAGTGAAGTGACGATGCAATGTGATGGTGTGTGTGTGAAAGAGTGACAGAGAGAGGCAGACACAGGTACGCAACACAAAGAAACTCGGTGAAAATGACTTGTTGATGTCATCCCAAAACTCCACTCATTGAAGAAGATAGCCTTTTGTGGTTGCTACTTAATAGAATGATTTTGGCACATGCTTTTTTTTTTAAATAATATAAATTAAGAAGTCATGTATGATAATATTCGAACATGATATATTAAATGTTGTTCTTTTATATATTCGAATTCAAACAAAATAATTATAATATAATATGCATTTATTTTTTAAATATATTAACAATCGTATATTTATTTGTGTATATAAATTTATTTAGATTTGAAATCAGACACGTTATCTTATAATCATATTAGAATGATAAAAAATATTTTTTTTATAATAACAACGATTAGATGTAGTTGTAAGACATATTACAAGAAATCTAGATTTAAAATTTAGAAATAATGCTATTATTTGAAGTCAATCATAAATCTAGAATATAAATCATAAACAAATATAGTATTTTAACAATTTTTACTATTTGCTTCTTTAGGAGTAGGGAGCTAATTCCTTAGGTAATGTATTGCACCTAATAAATACGTACGACTAATAAATTAGATAAATATACATTTAAATTTTTTATAAGAAAATTTATAAATTAGATAAAAATTTTAAAAAATATAATTTAACCATATTTTCTTTTTATAAATCTTTTGACAATGAATATTCATATTCCTAATATACGTAATGTCAAACTTAAAATTTTAAATGATAACAATAAATTCCTTAACTACTATGGTGTTTGATTTGTGTAATTCTACTATATATATAAACAATGTGTTGCAGGCATTAATTTTTGGTAAAGTGTGAAGCAATTGCATACTTTGGTGAAAGCCAAGCTCCATACTCTTTGGACCACGTAATGCAAGAATAAAGATATTTTAAAATAAAATATTGACTAAATTTATTTACATCGTTTAATTTTTTTTATAGGAATCTATAGATAAGGACAAACGTAAGATTTTATGTTATGGATGCATATTTTTAAGAAGTTATATTAAAAATTTAGAGGTAAAAATTAATCATCAATACCAACTATATGTGAATTTGAAAATTTCAAGGTTTTGATCACCCCTCTTTCGGTCCATCACTGATTACAGTAATATAATTATAGAGTACGAGAAGCTCTCATCTCTCTCAAAATTTCTAATTTGATGACACTTTAAATTTCATCAATTTAAACTTAAGTTAAATTATGTTTTGATTCCTTTTAATTTTTGGATTAAATACTTAATGAATCCCTATTGTTTTGAACTAATGCAATTGACTCATTCCAATTATTGATCCTAATTTCGTCCTTGAATCGATAGCAATAAAATATAGACTTCTTTCACTTTTTATAGTAATGAGATAGGTATGGTAGACTTGAAGGATGGCTATAAAGTTGGGAGAATTGCCAAACCTACTTCACTATTTAGGTGAGCCCTTATTTGATGATGAAGATGGCCATGAAAGCACCCTTGGAACAACTAGTGATGGGGTCATATGGTCCCCTGCTCTTCAATCTCAAAATTCTATGCATTCTTCTCTCTCTTTTCCACTCCATGCTCCATGTTTGTCAACAAATGTTTCATTGAAAGAAAAATATCTTAAAGTAGAAAACAACATAATTTTCAAACCAATTTTCCACAACAAATACTGTAATATACTAGATTTTATGATACATGTGTTGTGGGCGAAAGGAAATGATATTCGAAAATATATAAAATTTTCAGTAATTTAATCACCCGATATGCCATTTTAAATTATAATATAAACTATGTAAATTTTTGAATAGTCCATAATGATTATAATGTAGTATTTGTTTAATTTTTTTTAACTAATTGACAACGTACATACCTTACCGACACAAATGTTCGAATCCAGAACCACAACTATTTAATTTTTAAAAATATATAAACTATTGAAAGGCAAAATACGCTTGTAATTTAAGCTATTTGATCTTATAGGTTGTCTCACAACCACAACTCTATAGGATTTTAATAAAGGCATTACAAACTTTGCCACAATTGTTGACATTTTAGTTTGTACAAGCACGCTTAGCATGGTGGAAAAATAATCTTTCAAGTATATTTAAGAAAATTAAATACATGCATTAATATTTTAATTTCATTTACGAAAATATTATTTTTATAGATATAAAAAATGACATCGCATTTTAACCTTCTTTTATCTATTAATTTATTAATAAACTTACCCTTTAGATTTTTTATAAGTGAAACTAACACTATATATTTAAAAAATTAAAATAAATAATACATACATAAATTTTTTAATTTTATTTATGAAATTAAAATATTATATTATAAAAAATATATATAAAGCATATCGAATTTCGCCGCAATTGTCGACTTTTTGCTCTTTTTTCCCCAAATCAAAATGGTTATGATTTGATAATAGGAAGGACAAGATGAATTGGTTGATGAGCGCAATAATCATTAATTTTAGGGTCAATTACAAGTTTAGTACCTAAACTATTATTTTTATTTTGTTTTGATACTTAAATTTTATTTTATTTTTTTGCAAAATCATATCTAACATTTAATTTATGTTTTATTTTGGTATCTCGTCGTTAAAAGCTTACAAAACTACTATACCTGATATTTTTATGGTTAAATTATATTATTTATTACTTAATTATCTTTTCACTCCTATTTTCAAAATCATCACGGACAACTATATATGTGAAAAGTTATGGACTATAAAATAATATAAAATTTAATTTAATTGACTTCTTAATAGAATTTAAAGAAGCAGCAAATTTAGACTTTTCTTAAGTTCAGCCAAAAAAAATTATAATTATAATTATATATATATATAGTAGATCCAAAAATACTTTTTACAGTTATTATATATATATATATATTAATACCACAAAATTTTTGAATGATATGCGCATAAATAAAATTTTATGCATAAATAAAATTTTAAATAAAATTTTAGGGCATGCATTATCAATAAAATAAGTAACTAACTGAATAAAATTTGAATTTTATGGTGGACACGTTCCGACCCTCAGGTACATGTGGATCTGCCATTGTATATAAGATTAGGTTAAAAAAACAAAACTACTATACATGACATTTTTATGATCAAATTACATTATTTATCACGCAATTATTTTTTCATTCCTATTTTGAAATCATCGCAGACAACTATACATGTGAACTATATATGTGAGAAGTTATGGACTATAAAATAATATAAAATTTAATTTAATTGACTTCTTAATAGAAGTTAAAGAAGCCACAAATTTAGACCTTTCTTAAGTTCAGCCAAAAAAATTATAATTTAAATTATATATATATATATATATATATATATATATATATATTAATACCATGAAATTTCTGAATGATATGTGCACAAATAAAATTTTAGGACATGTGTCATCAATAAAATAAGTAATTAACTGAATAAAATTTGAATTTTGATGGGCATGTTTCCACCCTCATGTACATGTTGATCTGCCATTGTATATAGTGTTAAGTTACACTTATATTTAGTGTAAAAATTTTAATTTTATATCTTTCTATGATAGTTATATAAATGAAAATATATAGCTAAGATCTCTTTTGTTTCTTGTGTGAATATCTTCTCATATTACTGTTAATCTAAATCATTTATTTTTATTCATCTAATAATTCTAAAAAAATATATAAAATTAAAAAATTTGTACGATGTTAATATATATACATACACACACTATTCTTCTAGTAACGGAAAGTCAAGTGATCACAATATTTTTTACAAAAGAAAATAAAGTAAACAATTAGTTATTAAAAGTTTGTTATCACATTTGATACTTAACATATTTTTTATATAGAATTTACTCATATAAATTTAATATCTTTTATCACTTTGGAGAGACTCCATTTCAAGGCCACTTACAAGACATATGAAATCAATGTTTACTATACAATAACCGATGATTCATGTAGTTCGATATATTTACATATGAAGCCTAATTTTTCAGGTATTACATCTCATCTCATGAATGAATGGCCACATGACCATTAAGCATCCAGAGTATATAATATAGTTCCCATAGGATAGAGAAATATCTCCTCCCTCCCTCCCTCTCTCTCTTAGATCTTCTTTTCAATCTATTATTCCCAAAACCCTATTTATCTTTTAACTTGAATACCGGTCAATCAATGATTCTTCGTTCAAATCATAACGGACGAATTAAAAATAATTGACTTGCCCACTTCATTTTTCAACGTAAATCACCACCTCACCCGTTATACATCAATATTGATGCGATCAACGTAAACCACCACCTCCCCTATAATATAATAAAGGTTTCTCATGCAATGACGGATGACAAGGAATTCCATGTCTCATGGATTCTAGTTTCCTAACTTCCAACAAAGAAGCAACGTCTCAATCTCCCCCACTACAAGATTTAATCAATAGTAATTAATTTGCTACACTCTTAGGAGTTTAATTAGTGGTTTTGGGTATATAATTATGTTGCATTCAAGAGTGTGTTTAGTCATAAGTACAAGTTGCATGCAAGCTTATGGGGACGCAATAAAATCTTGCTCATAAATACAGGCTAGGAATCTCTACTTTCATAAGGTGGGCTATGGTGATAAAGTTGAAAATTTTGAGAATAATTTTTATTTTTTTAATTTAAAATTATATTATTCTTAAATTTTATGATTTCTAGTTAAATATTTATACTTTTATTACACGCAAAATATGTTTTAAACTCCTTTTTCTTGTAGATAAGAATTAGATAAAAAACATTTACATAGATAATTTTTTCGGTCGATCTGTTATCTTATTGCATGGTGTACATTTTCAGATATTGAATATTATTTGATCTTAAATTTTAAATATTTTAAAATTCGGATTATTAAAATCGTGACCCGTATTCGATATGAAAAAACCGAATATTCAAATTTAAAGATCGGATATCTAAATCTAAATATAAACTTTAATTTAAAAAAAAATTAATTTTAAATTTAATATTTTTTGATCTTTTACAATATATTATATATCTATATTAGACATATATTTATCAAAATATGCTTCTGCAAAACAAAAACAAATTCTTAATATGTCATTTCAAAGCTTAAAAAATAAATAATTTGAAAGGTTAATTCAATTATTCAATCTGCAAGCATTAAGACATCCCAATTTTAAGGCTGATTGGGTAGTGGTTAGGCGTTGGCCATTTCAATTTACAGGCTGACTGGCTAGTGACTGGGCATTGGGTATTTTAATTTTTAGGTTGGGGACTAACTAAGATTGTTGGGTCTTTGTAAATTTTTTTAAAGGTCCATTTTTTACCAGATATTAGGATGATTCATGTGTTCGATCTATTATCTAATTTTATTTTCGATTATCCAATCTTGGTTATTCAAAAATTTTGAAAATAAATCAAATATTTAATTTTTCAGATCAGATCAACGGATCAGATTGATCAAATCAAAATTTCTTACACACCCCTATATTGCAAATTAACACACCAATTAAGTTTTTTACTTTCAAATCTATATTTAATACAACAAGGTATGTGACAAGGTCCATACCATGGGAACTCCACACACCACTCTTGTACCTTTGGCGAGATCAATTCTTGACTAGTCACGAGTTTTTAACCTGCAAGCCTCCACATATATCATATATTTTATTTTATTTTTATAAGTTATTTTTTCACCTATTGAGTTTCACCGTAAATATTTGAGCTAAATTAATATGAAATTCAAGTCATAAGTTTTAATATGTCATTTAAGTGAATTCTTCTCGAGATTGTTTGAGTTTTATGATTTGAATTTTGTGTTAATTTGATCTAAAAATTCTTGATATAATTCGCTTGATAAACAAATAAAGAAGAGAAACCTAATTCCAGTAAGAAACATCATTTAAATTCATACATGACTACACTTCTACTATTAAGGTTGATTGAGAATACAATGTTAGTAATACTTAAAGAAGGAAAAGCATATATCCCTTGTGAAGAGATATACTCTTGGATGAGTTTGTAAAGGGATTCTTTCCTTTATTTGTTGAATGTGGTGAGATAAAGTCCCTCGCACATGCATGTGTGATTTTTTTGTTCAACTCGATTCGTGGAAAGATCATGTTAATTATAGGGGGTATATGTCCATTATAACGATTACACATATCGAGACGAATTTGTCTCTAAGACAGACCACGACACGATTATTATTCATGTTTGATTATTTATTTATTTTTCAATCAATCTTGACACATCGTTTAATAATCAACTTTCTAACATATGAAACTTAGTTCAAATAGATTTTTTTTATAACATATTGAATCCAACATTAGAATCCATCGAAAAAACAATTTTATTGGCATCTTTGATTCAAATTGACTTGTTGAATTTGTAATATTATTTCACATTGAACAAGATTTTTCAGAAGATAAATACGAGGATGATATTTGAGAATCCTCGTGAGATTAGCAACTTTAAAAACTTGTGGTTGCTAAGCAAGCCCATGCTCGAGTCATACCGCTTGGGTTCCCTCGAGAGTCAAGACCCGTTTTTAGCCTCAAAACTCCTCCCTTTACACACCCTTTTTGGCTCCTAACGCCCTCAATAACCGAATTTGGTTTGATTCAGTGACGGATGCAAAAACAAATTGAGGGTGAACATGTGTTTATTTTAAAATTTAAATTTCACTTGATTAATTATCTATTTTATTGATCATGCATATTCTGAAAATTTATTTGTTCTCACAGGCAAATAAAAATTGTATATAGTTAATATATATATACTCATCTTGAAAAGTATTTATAAATTTGTCACTGATTCAATTAAAGATAATAATGTTTATCTTTGGAACTCAATAGGTATCTCAAAAGTTACTCATGCGTTTTTTTGGAAATGATGAAATTAAGTACACCATTCAATAGAAAATCTTATAAACTTTCAAATGACATATTCGATTTAGGATTTTGAGTCCTGAAATCACTTGAATCTTGAAATTAAAGTTCAGAGTTTTAGATTTTTTTTTGAAATAAAAACGAAAACCATTAGTTGAAAGTCAATGTTGAGAGCTTACCGAATATGAAATCAAATTTTGATTTAGAATGAGTAGAATAGCGAAATCCTTAATTTTAATGTTTAAGGTTTCAAACTTTTAGGGTAATTTCAATGGTGATTTTGGTGAGGAAGAAGCCAAAGGATGCTCACTCAGCTTGGTGCTTATTTAACCCCAAGGTTTAATAGAGAAAACTCTCTCCAAAGGGTTTGCTCAAATTGGCTAAATTAAAGAAATAAGGAAGATGACCAAATTATAAGGTTCTGCAAACTAACTAGCTTATTCACAAAAACATTTAGTGAAATCATGGGACTAGTCCTCAATCTTTTCTTCTCCTTGAACTAATTATTGCATGATCTAATTAGTCATCTATGTCTTAAGTCTTTTCCCATGTTTTCATTTGAGAACTAAAGTTTCCCTTTTTCACTAAAGCTATTGCGTCCTCCATTTATCACATTTTATTCCTTAAACCATTTTCAAAACAAATTACTTTTAATTTCATTTATTCTATGGAACTAATCTCATTTTCAAGAATTAAAAATGATTAAAAATATTGAATATAAAACAAATTCTAGATCCATTTTTGAAATATTAGAAACTCTATATAAAAATATGGGCTTATTTAGGGATGTATTACTTAAAAAAATTAGAGAAATGTGATATCTTAAAATTATTTTAAGAATTATTATATTTTCTATAATAATTATTAAAGTCTTGGATGATTTTGACAAATTTATGTCATAAAAGTCGTTGACAGCTATTGGCGATTTCGTTAAAATCGCGCTTAGACACCAGCAACTTTGGGACAAATTAGACATGGACTAAATTGAAATAATCTAAAAAACTAAGCTTAGATTAAAATTAAATTTAAAAAATTAATCAGAATTAAATAAGTTGACTTTACTAAAAAACACAGTGATTACATGTCGAAGACACATGTTATCGCAAATATGATCAAAGATCATGTGACGATAACATACACGTGACAGCCTTGATTCTAATCGCTTACACTAATTTATCTAAAGAAGCCAATAAATGGAGGAATTCATAAGAAAAAAAATGCCCGAACAATGGGCCCGCAACAAAACTAAATACAAAAAGCAGGGAGCAATCAAATGACATCAGCGGCATAGAGAATGAGCCAAATAACGAGTGTTGCAGGCGTTTAAGCCAATGAAAATTCGACAACTCTTTTGTCGAAACCACTCTGGTTTTCCAAAAACCACCCGTTTTCTGTTTCTCATTCCCAAATCTCATAAGCTGTTTCCATCTTCTTTTCCAAATATATATACACAAAGTATAAAAACACTTGCACCAATTCTCCCTCCTGCTTTCCATCCCCAGAATTTGTCTCAAACACCTTGGCATTCAGCCGAAAGAGATGATAAGGGAACAACCAATTAAAGATACCCATCCTTCTCTTCTCTAAATCTCTCTCAAGCCCTCTTTCATTTTCCTTCTTTGAGAAGAAAAGAAGATTATTAGCAATGGGGAGGGGTAGGGTTCAGCTGAAGAGAATCGAAAACAAGATCAGCAGGCAGGTCACTTTCTCCAAGAGAAGGTCTGGGTTGTTGAAGAAAGCCCATGAAATCTCCGTTCTCTGCGACGCCGAGGTTGCTTTGATTGTTTTCTCCACTAAAGGGAAGCTCGTTGAATACTCATCAGATTCCTGGTAACTTCAATGTTGCTTTCTTGATTTGCTTCTTATGGTTTCTGGATACCATTATCTTTACGATTCTGGAGTTGGTAGGCATCCGATTTAGTGAAAATTAACTATTTTATTGTTATATTATGGAGTCAAAACAATTTAGAATTTATACATCTAAGAATTATGTGTTTATATAAATATAAATTATTTCCGTACAAGTACAGAAAATGCTTGAAAACTGTCTTGTTTAGGAAAAGTTGGCATGTTTGACAAGAATATAGTTTAAAGTATGATAGTCCCCCCTTTTGAGCTTACCATTTTGAGATTGCTATATCTAAGATGAGATTGTATGGTTTTCAGAACAGGCCATCTTATCAATTTATTAGTTCAACCGGTCGAATTAGTTCGATCGGTCAGAAGAATCGGACGATATCATAATTATTTAAAAAATTAAATAAAAATATCAAAAATATTTAATAAAAAATAATTTTTTATATCACAAGTCATTCAAAGCAAGTTATAATATATATAAGTTAAAAACTATAAAATCAAGTGAAACAAAATGATTCAAATTAACTACAAATAATATTTAAGGTAAAACATATTAAATAATAAATATAATTATATAACTATAATTAAAAAATAAATTTGGGGCTAAAAAAATCATAATAAAATGATATTGTTTGGTTTAATTTTTTTTTAAAAATAATCCCACATGACTAAGAAACATAGAAGAAAATTCCAAAAGTCTAAAGAGAAAATATGAGAACAAAACAATCTCACATGACTAAGAAACATAGAAGAGCATCCTAACTAACTTCTATAAATAATAGAGGTAATTTGACATTCAAAATCATAGAACCTTTTGGTGAGCATTAAGTGAATTATTCTTTCACTTCAATCAAGCTCGAATTTTATGCTTCAATCGAGCTTCTAAATTTTTTTTGAGTTCAAGCATTTTCGAGTTCAAGTTTCAATATTATATTTCGAGTTCGAGTTGAACTTGATAATTTTTAGCTCGTGAGTTTGAGTCGAGTTGAGCTTACTTTTAAAATTTTCAAGTTCGAGTCGAGCTCAGCAAAACTCGAGTTCGACTTGGCTCGTTTAACAAACGACGTCGTTTGGTTTAATTTAAAAACAAACAAAAAAAATTGGCAGTTTTTTTCCGGTTTTTTCTCGTTTTCCGTCGGTCTGGTTCGAACGGTTCAACGGTTCCGGCCGGTTCACTAATAGCGGTTCAACCGGTGTAGATTGAACCGGACTAGGCAGCAGTTCCCGATTGAACCGACCGATCAGGTCCGGTTTTCAAAACACTAATTGTGGCTGCTAACTCGATTCTCGATATCTTTAACAATTTGAGTTGAATAAAATTTTATTTAATTCGATAAGTTCGTGAGCTCGTTAAAATTTTAAAATATATTTTTAGTAATTACTTCAAAATTATTTCATTCAAAAAATAAATTTAAATAATAATTATTTATTAATTAATAAATAATAAAAATAATAAGTTAAGTAATCTATTATTTTTAATAAATAATAAAATATTATTAATTAATAATATTATTTTAATACAAAAGAAAATCAAACCCTAATATCCTCGTATTGTATTAATAAATTTTATTTTTAGTTAAAAAATAAGATAATTTTTTTAGTAAGTTTAACTAACAACGAGTCGAGCTTAACAAGCAATGAGTCTAGTTGAGCAACAATTTTTTTTAACAAGCACAAGTCAAACACAATTTTAACGAGCTTAACGAGCAACAAGTCGAGTCGAACAACAAAATTTTTTAACAATCACGAGTCGAATATTGTCCAACTCGCGATCGACTCGCTCAATAAACACTCCTAGATTGTATATGACTAGGACACTTGATTGAACCTCATGATTTTAGGGTAAGTTTGGAGGGTTTTTTCTCTTATATTTTTATGCATATAGTTATTAACTTTTGGATAAAATATTGATTTTTTTATAGTTTATGTTTGAGATTTTTTTATAGTGGTTAAAGAGACGATTGTTATTAATATCGGGTTCGAACACATCATCTGTAGGAGTGTTTGAACGTTTATTATCAAATGATTAAGAGTCTTTCAAATAGATACTATTTTGTAATTAACACATACTAATAAAAAAAGTCATCATGGCATCTTTAAATTTAGAATTTGAATTTATTATAGGAATGTAATATGTTTTATCATTGTATATGAAATTATATTAATTTATATAATGTTACAATTGTTTTTTGATGTCTTTATTATATTGATTAAGAGTATTATTACTTTGATAATGAACTTGATCGAATTACTTAATCAAAGATTAGTAATTCAGATTTGAGTTATTTTTTTAAGAATACGTGTATTTTAATTCTGAATTATCTATATAATAATATATACAAGTAATAATGGACCTAGAGGGGGAGGGTGTGGATGGACGCCTCTTAAAATTTTTAAATTTTTATATATTTTAAATATATATTTTTATTTTATATTGAATTCCTGTATACAAGTATTAATTTTTTTTTTTTAATTTTAAAAGATTCTTTTAATAGTTATTATATTATTACATTGGTATTATAATAGTATTTTATTTTATTATTAAATTTGAGCATTAGAATTTTTTTTATTAAGTTTGAATCACGCTCTTACCCATGCTAAATTACATTTTAAATATGACATAAGTTATTAGTTTTAACAGTTTTATTTTAAAATAAGTATTATTTTATATATTTTTAATTTAATATAAATAAATAAAACTTGTATTTTTTTTGTATAAAATTTTTTAAGTCCGGGGTGACTCTTTCGGTCCAAGATCAATATATACTTAAAATCCAATTAAAATTTATATAAAAATTTACAAATTACGAATAATTGTAATAAATTCGAACTTGACATTAAAACTTAAGTTATTTAATCTCAACCACGTAAATAAAAACTTGTTTAACAATGGGTAACTTGTCTTTATCCATAAGGCACAATTATCAATGAGATACATGCATAACAAGTGTTGTAGGTTATGAAGATAGTGAACAATATATTTTTAACATATACCAAAAGGTTGAAAAAGAAATCTAACAAAAGGTTAAACTATGTTTCAAGTTCTTGTATAATCGTACATTTGAAAATTAGTCCTTTTATTTTTAAGAACTGAGCACTCTACTTTTCATATTTTAAAATTCAAGTTCAATTGATTAAACCGTTAAAATTCCACGTTGAATTCACATATGTGACATTCTAAAAGAAAATAATTCTAGCTTGACAACCATGTAACAAAAAAAGACGACGTTGTAATGGACTTGAATTAAATAAAATAATTTTTATAATAGTAATACTTAGAATTAAATTTTTAAATCCGAAAAGTAGGACTAAACTTCAAATATATAGAGAGTACATGGAGTTGGAACATATTTTAACCATTATTTTTTTAATGATTTCCAAGCATTTTTTATCGATCTTATTTTGATTATTTCAATCATGGTTTATCTCTTGTGCAGCATGGAAAGGATCCTTGAGCGGTATGAAAGATATTCTTATGCAGAGAGGCAACTTGCTGCAAATGAAATTGAACAAAATGTAAACCCCAAACCACTTTATTTGACACTTTCCCAATTCCTGGAAAGTTTCATACAGGGGCACGATTCAAATGGTTTACTTACAGTTATAGTCCTTTCTAAAGATTTTATAATTCCGTTTAAGCTTTTTTACTGGAAAATTTATGTATTTGTCCTAGTTTCCTACATTCATCCTTAGGAATGTCAATTATGTTGGATGTCATTTGTTGCTTCCAATCTTGATTTTCCTTGAATTATTCATGATAGATATTCAAGTTGATGCATATTCGAATATAAGTATAGGGATATGACCTTTTAGGGACCCTTCAAAACATATTCGAATTTAACATATACTCGTATCTCTTTCATATACACGAAAGTATTGTGTACCATATAATTCAATGAAGCATTTTACCTTGTGATAAATTTCAATGCGTTTTACAGGGAAATTGGACTTTGGAACGTGCAAAACTCAAAGCCAGGATGGAGGTTTTAGAAAGAAACAAAAGGTACCCAATTGATCCTAAAGGCTTCAAAACTTAAATGTATTTGGTTATTTCCAGCATTGAAAGCAGAAATTAAGTTTCTTTGTATACTTTTTGCAGGCATTATATGGGGGAAGATCTTGAGAATTTGAGCCTTAGACAGCTTCAGAACTTGGAGCATCAACTTGATTCTGCCCTCAAGCACATACGCTCAAAAAGGGTAAAATCACTTGGAGAATATACATAAATTGTTTAATAGCATTTGGTTCTGCAATCATTTGGCCTTGACAATTTTTTCACTTGCAGAATCAGCTCATGCTTGAATCAATTTCTGAGCTTCAGAAAAAGGTATGCCTTTTCACTCACATGTGTGTAATATTAAGGAGAAAGTTTGTTGCTTTGGTGGTTGCACGAATCAACCGAGCTGATTTTCTTATAGATTCTCGTATTGATAATTTAATTTCACTCCGCCTGAAATTACAAAATATTGCATCTCTAACATAAAATCCTATGTTCCGTCCTTGGATAGAGATTGCCTGATATCTTTCTGTATGCAGGATAAAGCATTGCAAGAGCAGAATAATATCCTTGCCAAGAAGGTAAACATTAAATCCAGTATCCACAAATGTTGATTCAATGAACTTGTTTCTGAAATTGTGTAATGATTTGTACTAAAATGTCGTTGAGCCATATACAGGTGAAGGAGAAGGAGAAGGCCATTCTACAGCAGGCACAACAAAATAACTCCCAAGATTCTTCCTCCATGCTTCTGCCACAACCAATGCAGTCCTTTAACATCAGGTTTCTCCCTCTTTTTGTTATTCGGATTTGGATGCAAGTGTTTGATTAAAAAAAATACAGGGTTGCCAATTTTTTCATCTTGGTTGAGTAGGTTAGATTCAGTGACGGATTTAGAATTTTTTTTAAGGATAGACGCATATATTAACAATACAATTTTTATACGGGGGTAAGCATAAAAAAATCTTAAAGTGGACAGAATCGTTAAAATAGATAACTAACATAAAAACATTGGAAAGTGCTCACCCTAAACTATACTTGCATTCGCCACTGGTTAAACTGATGAGTTTTAACATTGTGCAGAGGCAGGTATGAAGGGAGCAATGGAAGGGAAGAGGAAGCTAATCCTGGTGCAGCACAACATCCCAACTCCAGTGTGCTATTGCCAACATGGATGATCGCTCATCTTGAATGACCAAAACAAGTAAAAAAAAATACCTTTACTATGCAAATTTAACACGTTTATATATTTTTATATGTATGTATGTATATGTTTATTATATATGCATGCATGGCACAAACTCATGTGCGACTTGTATCTGTGTAATCCAGTGATGTAATTATTAAGGAGTGTTTTTGAAAAAAATATCATATATATTGTATCCATCACTTTAGATTAATCGTAGTCTCGACCAATAAAAACTAGATGCATTGTCTCTTTTATTGTCACTTTAGATTAACTGCATAAGCATTTATCATAGGCTAATTACATCAAATATCTCAAATTTATGAACGATTTTCTAGTTTTAATCCCTAAAATACAAAATATTCTAATTCATCTTTCAAACGATTAAACTTTTAATTGTGTAAAATAATATTATTTAAAAAATTCGATTACAAAAATCATTTTAAAAATTCAATTATAATAAAAAAAAAATCTAAATTTAAATCTCAATTAAATTTTATTTACAATATTAAAAATAAATATATTATTAGATTAATATGATTTTAATTGAGGTAAACGTGTAATTCAATTATGATATGAGGAATTTATATACGCAGACATAAGATTTTGGAAAACGATGAATATGCTTAATTTAATATTTTACTTGTCAAAGATAATAAACTGATTAATTTAATTGGTGAATATTGAGTTCGTAAATTAATTATTAAATTAATAGCATTTAATCGTGTTAAATTATTCACATTTTAGGCCGTTTGTGGGCTTGGATTAATTTCATAATTGGGCCTTTTAAAACATGGATTGGTTTAATTTTGTGGGTTTCGATTAATTTTATAAAAAAGGTATTTATAATTTATATTATAAAATAAAATACTGACGGAAAAGAATACTGTTCCGACACATACAAAATTCATCTTCTTTTTACCTTTTCATTTAACTACGCACACCTTAAATATATTGTTCCAACATTCATCTACTTATCAAATATTAGGGGTCACAATATGTTTAATTTAATCTCAAAAGTATAAATTTTTATATCAAATTCAATCCGACCCCTAAATTAATCTATATATAATTTCTCAAAAATATTTTTAAGAGCGAAAAAGTACTTCTAAGGACCACAACTACAAGTGCCACAAAATGGTGAGCCACTTAGACAGAGGCATGTTTTATTTTTAAAGATGTTCCACCGCTTTAATTAATTGGGCAATCTCACGGTTGGACCAACCATTTTATTTATTTTATATTTATACCAAGTCTAATTACATGTATCTCTTGATTGTAAAGCTGTTCAATTACACAATTAAATTCTAAAAACAAATAATAAAAAAAAGGGGCATGCAGGCAAGTCAGTTGGCTATAATCTTGCCTTGGTTGGCGTCTGACCATATGTATTATTATATTTGTTAGCTATGGGAGGTTAGTATATAATATTATATTTGTTAGATATGTGTATAGTATTAGTACTTTTAAAAGGAAGAATATTATTTTCCTTTCCAACATTTATGGGCTGTTTGTTTATGGCCGGTTGCTATGCAATAAATGCAGCTCTTTTGCCTCGTACTCATATTGGATATAAAATGAAGCCCATTTATATGTTCAATAGATAATAAATATTTGTTATCATATTGTATTTTTGACAAGAGAATTTACATTTACATAATTAATAAAAAGTAAAGATCGAATTTTGATGACGATTGTTGGTAATATAATATATATATATATATATATATATATATCCTACATTAAATAAGCTTTCAAATATGATAAATTTTTACTTTCCACAGTGGTGACCACGTAGGGAAAGCGTTCGTGTGTGAGAGGTTATTTGTGATTAAGACCGTTTTTAATGCTATCAATACAATAATTATCTCTGTTTATATTGCTAAATATCTTAATATATGACATACTAGATTAATATATGTGAATGTTCACTCTATTAAACGATTTTAAAAGGTATGATAACTACATTCTTATTAAATTACGACTTCTCTGTCAATATAAATAGAGAGCCTATACTTTTTGTAAATCACATTCTTAATAGAGTGTCTCATAAAAAGTTAGATTATATTTCATATGAATTGTTGAAATATTATGTCCCAATCTGCAATATTTGGATGTATGAGTATGCAATCAATTGACCTTAGTGGTTAAGAGATTCGTTATTCTCTCTAGAGGTGAAACACCGACAAAAGTATGAGCGTTCATAGTTAATTGGTTGAAAGTCGAAACCAAGAATTTTGATGTAAGTAGTGAATCCGTTACTTATTTTTTTTAATATTTTTTTAATGATAAAGATAAAAAAACTACAATGAGACTATAAATTTAATTGATGCTAAAATATATTCGCTTTGATTGGTATAATCTTGAAAGTGGGCTGTCTCTCAAGGTTAACATACATCGTACAATTGAAGTGAAGAAGTAGAACTCACTTAGCATTACTCTTTTCGAAGATAAAACATGAAGAGATAAATTATAGAAAAACAAATAGTTTTGATGTGTAAAATAATGAACCGGAGTTCGATATTTATAAAGGTGAAGGTTTGAGTGAATCAGTAAATAAGACGAAAATGATTATCGTAAAAGTCTCAATCACCCCAAAATCAACTTAAAATAGGAATGAAATCTTATTTAAAATATAATATGACTTTTCCCTTTTTTATTTGCATTATCCAATATATATACGTAAAAGTAATTCAAATTCGAATCTTGAAGCCGATATTATTAGGAAAGAAACAATAAATTAAACTAAAAATGGATATGAAATATATCTAAAAGAATATCTACAAATAAAAAAAAAACAAAGATAGAATTTTGGTGATAATGCATTGTATTAGACAAAGGCTAATCATCACAACTTCATACAAGCGTGTGAAATTCATTAAATTAAGAGTTCATGGTAACCCTTAAATGAAGGTCTCATCTCTCCGAGCATTAAATCCAAAAAGATGCCCATATTATCTTCCATCTTCATGTCCAGCACGTCCTAGGAAACTGCCTCACCTCCATTACTGCCAATAATAATATTTTATGAGCTACATGTCTGATATATATATATATATATATGCAAGTTGAATTACCAAATGTGGCTTGGGATACTTCCAACTCAAGAAGAAAGCAAAACAATGGTTCGATCGGATTCGAGATCACCAACAATGAGCCTTGGCCGCTCAGTGGCTCGAGTTCGTGTCACCTCGCCGTCTCTCAAGCGAAAACCAGCCTCTAGTTGTATCAGAAACGATCAGGAAGTCAAGTTCTTAGGTGATAAACCAGAGGATACCAACTTTAGAATAAACGCCGCCGCCGCCGGAGCTGAATATGACGGTGGCAATAAAGTCATGGTGGTGGCTGACTCGAGCATGGAAGCTAAGGGAGCTCTTGACTGGGCTTTATCTCATACGATTCAACCCCAAGACACCATTGTTCTTCTGCATGTCGGCAAACCCAGAAAAAGAGGTCAGTCACATACACACACAGATATATATATATATGTGCATGTACATATGTTTGTGTGCATACATATCCATTATAGTCACTGCTTGAAACTTAAGTCCTGGTTTGCAGAGTCGTCTAAAAGGAAGCGAAACCCAAGAGTTGATGATCTACTCAACTCAATGAAGAATATGTGTCAAATGAAAAAGCCAGGAGTAAGTATTGATACTTCATTTGTTTATTCTCTTGATTTCAAAATTCACCCCCAAAATGTTTATGTTTTGTCTCCAAGTTTCATTTTGGAACAAAATACTTTTAGTTGTTGGATTAAAATCGTTAGTTGACTAACAATCAATACTTATATCTAATACGGTAAGTTCTCTATGTCCAAAGTGATGATGTGATATATATCATGTCATCACCTTGGACACATGATGTGTGTCACAAAATCACTTTAGACACATAAAATTGGTTATATCAATGATAATTGTTGATCGTTAGTTAACTAACAGTTTACATCCAACAAAGAAAATTTTGCCCCAAAATAAAACGTTGAAGCCAAAGTGTTTTTTTTTTACATTATACATTATAGTATCTTTCATAATTGTTATATCGTCCATGTTTCATCGAACAATATCATCTTCAAATTATGATTTTTACGATAGGGTTTGAAATGATTTGCAGGTGAGAGTTGAAGTGGCGAAAGTTGAAGGAAAGGAGAAAGGAGCAATAATAGTGGAGGGAGCAAAGCAACTGAAAGTGTCGCTTTTGGTGTTGGGACAAAGGAAGAAATCAATAATATGGCGGTTGATGAGGAGGTTGACGGCCAAGAGAGGTGGCGTAGTGGATTACTGTATTCAAAATGCTTCATGCATGACCATCGCCGTGAGGAGGAAGAGCAACCAGCTCGGTGGCTACTTGATTACCACAAAGCGTCACAAAAAGTTTTGGCTTTTGGCTTGACTATATTCAACTTAATTCTCATTGCTTATGATTAATATGTATTGGATCATACTTTAAATCTACCTTCTCATGTATGTAACCACGTTAACTGAATCAAACATTTTAAACAAAGCTCCTTAAGAAATATTTTCCCACGGCTCCTTCAAATGTTAGAAAGATTAGTAATGCGCTTAAAATTTTAGAAATTAGTAATAATATCATAATTATATGCTACACTAAGATTTATAACATTTTATCAAATTTTCTAAAATTACACATACAACTTTATTGTTCATAATTTTTTTTATTTCCATTAGAATTTTTAGTAGCTATAATACCACAATTTCTACCATATATACACCAGAATTTAGAATGCTTTACCAAAGTCTCTAAAGTGACATTTAAAGTTCTCAAATTTTAAAATTTGATATCAATTAGATTTTTTTTATTTGTTTTAAAAAAATTGTTATCCGTAAGAATCTTAAAAAATTTGATATCCATTAAAATTTTAGGTATCCATTAGAATTTTGGTATTACATCATGGTTGTAATATCTAAACTCGATCCATAATATTCAAAGGGACTATAATGCTATATTAGGTTACGGAAATGACCATCAAATTTAAAATTTATTGCAATTGATCATAATGTCATATTTCGATTCAAAAGGTTAGAAATAGATAAATCAAAAAGCATACGAATTTAAAACATTACATAAATCAGAGCTCCACATTAAATCTAAGTGTAAAAACACCAAAATAATATCAAAGTTTATAGACTAAAATATAAAAAGTAAAATTCTAAGAATACTATAATACTAATATAAATCTAGTATTATTGATGAGTGTTCTAAAACGATATTATTTGCTTGTTAAATCTTCAATCTTATGGATTTATTATTGCTGATTTGGTTGTGTTATGTTTATTTTCGTACATGATCTTACTTTCCAGAATTAGCAGTAAAACGGGTGCATTCTGTGCTTTTTTTCATTATTTGATCACGACTGGAGACATGGACATGACTCTGGGCATGACACGGTCTGACGTGACAATTTCTAGAAGGTTCAGTCAACAACATTTTCTAGAAGATCTAGTCAGCGCCTTCTGGAAGGTGAACAGAGAGAGATATATTAGGAGATTTATTTTTAATTTTAAAGTTTGAATTTAAAAAACATTTGAAATTATATTTCTTTTAACTTTTATGTCTATCTCTAAGGTTTTAGAGGCTATAAATACCCTCTTGGGGTAAGCCTAAACACACAATTCATAATTTACTCTTCTTCTTATTTATAGTTTTATAAAGTTCTTTATTTTCTTTTCAAGTTTTCATTTTCATTTTAAGTTTTATTTTTAAACATGCTAAATATGACTTTTTTCATGCTTAGCTAGTTTTCTCATAAGCCGAGAGCTGAAGCTATGACTCAATTCTAACGTGATAGTTGAAAAACACCTTAATAACTTCGGAATATCTCTCTCAATCTTTGTGCTTATTTTTTAAATCAAAATAGTTTTCAAAATCAAAGATTTACTTTGGTCGAGATGTTGTTGCGATTAAATGTGTGAGAGGAATTATCGACTTATTGAAAGCACATTCGACTTCCTGGGAACACACTTGGTGATATTGCCTTGCCAAGAGGGAATTGAGATCGGAATTAGTAGTTATTGAAACAACAGTCTGAGTCAGTCTTCACGAACTTAAACGGTTATTGATCTATGACATTTGATGTTAATCAGATCAATTTTCGAAGTCGTAATCAATGATTGCCTTGGGTATTTGGTATACAAAGAAGAATCACGAGGATTACCCTTGTAGACAAACTAACCGACGTGAATCCCGAAGGGAAAATCTAATTCGATGATCCGAAGGAAATTGAGTCAAAGCAAGGTTTGAGGCTGTAACACCCATAACCCATATAATTATACCTATACATATTATAGATGTCACCCGAATTTCGCAAACCATTTTCAATCCAAAAGTGATTTAAATTTATTTTCTTAAAATGGTAAATGATATTATAAAATATCATATCATATGAATTATGTTTCATTATAATAAATTTAAGATAAAATATTTTTTATGAATAGTGAATAGTACAGTAAACAGTGAATAGTAAACCGATGCAATGCTACAGTAACGTGAACAGTGTACCGATGCACAAAAATTTCGAACTTAAAATGTGTATCGATGCAATGCTACAGTATTTTCCAAAAAATACGTAAAACTCATAAAAACTTAACATTTCTTAACTATAAAGTTACCATTATGTTTCCAAATTTATCTAACAAAATAAATTGAACATTATTAATTACATGCCACTATCTAAGTCAAATTCCATCATAGGATGTCTTACTGATATTGAAATACATTCCTCAATGCTTGATGTCGTTATGAAATCTTTACTTTACTATTGGCTTTTTACCTACGCATGAAAATCATCACACGTTAAATTTATACTTAGTGATGCAATTAAAGCAATAAATAGTGCAATACAATTCATGCATGAATTTCAATGTCAAATTCAAAATGCCATAAAATCATGTTATTTGCATATCCAATATTTTACCATGATCAAAATAATATAACATTTCTTATCAATAAATTTTCCATTTATCCCATAAGCTCGTAAGCTTATTTTACCAACATACTTATCATTTATTCCATAAGCTCGTAAGCTTATTTTACCAATATACTTACCATTATTCCATAAGCTCGTAAGCTTATTTTACTAATATACTTTCCATTAACCTCATTTATCAATCATTATTGGATTCCATACATTCTATAGGAAATTCATATAATTCATGTAAATTTCCTTTTAATATTAGTACTCTCAGTGCTCTATCTGGAAAATCATACACTTAGTATGCTTCCCTTTTCATTTTAGCACACGAAGTGCCCTATTTAAAAATTCATACCATTAGTATGATTTTGTTACCATTTTAGCACATGAAATGCCCTATGTGAAAATCCATACCATTAGTATGATTTCCTTATCTTTGTAGCACCCTTAGTGTTTTATCTGGAAATCCATACACTCAGTATGATTCCCTTACCTTTTTAGCACATAAAATGCCCTATCTGGAAATCCATATTTTCAATATGATTTCCTTGTCATTTAGCACGCTCAGTACTCCATATGGAAATCTATACACTCAGTATGATTTCCTTATCATTTAGCACACTCAGTGCTCCATATGGAAATCTATACACTCAATATGATTTCCTTATCATTTAGCACACTCAGTGCTCCATACGAAAATCTATACACTCAGTATGGTTTCCCTATCATTTTAGCACACAAAGTGCCATTCGGTAATCACTATACATACGTCAATAAATTATGTTATTTTAACCATTACCACATGTATGTACATAATTAAATGCATTCACCTTGACACTTTATAATTTCCAAAATATGTTATAATTGTTGTTGTACAGTTGATTAATAAATTACCAACTAAGGTTCTATAGGGGATCTCTCCTAGTGAAAAGCTGCTGGGAAAGAAACCAAACTACAATGAGCTGCAAGTGTTCGGTTGTCAGTGTTTTCCTCATCTGTGACCTTTTCAACCACATAAGCTAGTGTTTCGTTCACACCCATGCACATACCTTGGCGTCAGCCCCCAACATAAAGGATTTTAGTGCCTTGCAGCCGATGGGAAGGCTTACATCTCTCGCCATGTAATTTTTAACGAGAACTTGTTCCCTTTTACAGGTTGAGCAACTGCAGTTCAGCCACGTGTGATTAAAAATCAGCAGTCACGTGTGATTAAAAAGCAGCAGTCACAACCTCTAAAAATTATGACTAAAATGCAACGCGTACCTGGTCAGCAAATGGTTCATGTAAATGCTCCAGACAATACTGAATCAAATTCTTCAGTACATCATGATATGGAAGATGTGAACATGGAAGAAGATGCTGGTGAATTCTCGAGTGTGAATGCATCCACCAAACCTAGTCTTGAACATGGAATCGATGAAGCTGTGGATCTACCTCCTAGTATGGCCACATCAAATAATGACGAGCCTAACAGTGAGGCTCCAGCTAGTGTTGATCCTGAAGCCCCCTGGTGTTGTTATACCACCTATGAACATTCACCCTATGTTTACAAGAGGGAAATGTGACATTTTTAAGCCGAAAGCCTATTCAAGCTATTTTGACAACAATGTACCCTCAACTGTTGCTGAAGCCTTACAGTCTCCAAAATGGGATGCAACAGTCCAGGATGAGTTTGATGCACTCCAAAGAAATGGAACTTGGAAACTTGTTAAGCTTCCTTCAGGACGAACAATAGTAGGTTGCAAGTGGCTGTTCAAAGTGAAAAGGAATCCAGACGGCTCAGTGCACAGATACAAAGCACGACTGGTTGCAAAAGGGTTTTCTCAAGTGCTTGGTCAAGATTATCTTGACACCTTCAGTCTAGTTGTAAAATTCACAACCCTCAATGTTGTCTTATCGATTATAGTAGCAAATAACTGGGAATTGAGGCATGTTGATATAAACAATGCCTTTCTTAATGGAGACTTACAAGAAACTGTCTTTATGAAGCAACCACCAGGGTTTGAGCAGTCTGTTGCTGATGTCACTCCCCTTGTTTGCCAATTATAGAAAGCACTGTATGGCCTGAAGCAAGCCCCTCGTAACTGGCATGCAAAACTAAAAGATGCACTGCTACATATTGGATTTCAGGTGCCTCGAGTTGACACTTCCTTATTTTTTACATGAACGGGGGCAAAATGTGTATACCTTTTGGTTTATGTGGATGACATAGTTATTACAGGATCTTCTACCTCCATGATTTCCAATTTCATAAATATGCTGCAAAAATACGTTTTCCCTTAAAGATTTGGGACCTCTAAGCTATTTTCTGGGAATTGAGGTAAAGCGGAGTAATGAAACTCTAATGCTTAGTCAAAAGAAGTTTATATTGGAACTGTTGGAAAAGGCTGGCATGAGGAATGCTTCATCATGTACCACACCCATGATCATTGCATCTAAATTGTCTGAGGATTGAGAGTTA